ATAATAGTATTCAAAAGTATCAATAATAAAGCAGCGACTGGAAAAAATTCATCCCATATTTCTCACTAGTGGATCATTTTAACACATTTGCACACATATAGACATACACATATTTTAGCGACATTATGGATTTTAGATGCTATACCTGCTAGCCCAGTGATTTAGCCAGCACGAGAAAAATTGATTGAGGGATATTAAGAAAGACTTGCATTTCTATAACTCATTTTATGACCTTAGGTTATTGTAAAGCACTTTGTAGCCCACTGGTACACAACAAGTTCCATCAAGCAGCAAGGATATAATCTTTGAACCACAGAATAATATAATATAGAATACCATTTGGCCCACTGAATCTGTGCTGGCTCTTTTGGAAAGCAATTTGGTTCATTCCCTCAACCTGCTTTATCCCCGTATGTCGGCAATTATTTTTCCAAGTGTTTATTCAATTCCCTTGTGAAAGCCACTATTAATTCTGTTTCCTGTCAGGCAGCCTTCCAAATCCGAACCAAATGCTGTGTAAAATAAAATTTCCTCATTTTGCCTTATTCTTATGTCAGTTATTATAAGCCTGGTGTCTTCTTCTGTGATCAGCCTTTTAGCCACCGGAAACAGTCCATCTTACAGTCATAGGGTCACAGAGTCACACAGCACAGAAATAGACCCTTCAGTCCACACTGACCATTCCAACCAGCTATCCTAAACTATTCTAGTCCCATTTGCCAGCATTTGGCCCATATCCCTCCAGTCAAGTACCCATCCAGATGCCTTTTAAATATTGTAATTGTACCAGTCTCCACCACTTCCTCTGGCAGCTCATTTCACGCACACGCTGCGTGAAAAAATTATCCCTTAGGTCCCTTTCAAATCTTTCCCTTCTCAGCTTAAACCTATGCCTCCTAGTTTCAGATTCCCCTACCCTGGGAAAAAAAAATCTTGGCTATTCACCCTGCCTATGCCCCTCATGATTTTATAAAGCACCATAAGGTCATCCCTCAGCCTCTGACACTCCAGAGAAAATAGCCCCAGCCTATTCAGCCTCTCCCTATAGCTCAAACCCTCCAATCCCAGCAAAATCCTTGTAAATCTTTTCTGAATCCTTTCAAATTCAACAACATCTTTCCTAAAGCAAGGAGACCAGAATTGAATGCAGTGTCTATTTACTCTATCTTTACTTTATATTTTCTAACATATATAATATATTTATGTATCTTTATTTATTCTACCTGAATATTTATGATTTTAAGCACCTTTATCAAATCTCCTCTTAGCTTTCCCTTCTAGAAAAAATAACTCCAACATTTTCCAGTGCTATCTACAGCAACTTCTCATCCCTGGAACATTTCAAGTAAATCTCTTCTGTACCTTTTCCATTTCCTTCAGAGTGTGATGTTCAGAATTGGACACTACTCCACCTGAAGGCCACACTATTGTTTTTACCAACCTTCTAGCTTTGTACTCTATGCTTCCTCTTATAGAACACAGGATCTCATTTGCTTTAGTAACTACTTTTTTTTAACCAATCTTCACTTCAGAGTTTTGTACGTGAACACCCCAAGGTCTCTTTCGCACCCTTTCAAAGTGTGCCGTTTAGTATGCATGATATTTCTATAAAAATCTATCACTTCCAACTTTTTAAGCATGACATTTTACCTTCCCTGTGTCCACCTACTCCATTAGTTTGACTGTATCCTCTTGAAGTCTATCACTATCCTCCTCACTCCCAATTTCCATGTCATTGGCAGATCTCAATATTATGCCGTCTTCTCTGAGGTGCAAGTCATTATCTGATCATCTTTTTGAAATAATTTTGATTGAAGGATAAACATTGCCCAGGGCACCAGGCAGAATTCCTTTACTCTTCTGCAAATAGTGTCATGAGATCCTTTATGCCCATCTTTCATGGCAGACAGGGCTCTGGGAGGTTGGTAGCAGAACGATGTGTTTTAAATGTGCCTCACCTGTGGGGAAAATCACATTATTGATGATCTTCAGAGTGGGAGATCTGAATCCTAATGGAACTTTGATGACAACATGAAGCAGTGGATTAGAATAGAAAGGACGGAAATCCATACAGCTCAACAGTAAAGGTAGAAGCTGAACTCTGGACCAGGCAGGAATTTGATTTGTGCAATCTATAGCTCTGAGCAATCATCCACAGATAGCTTTCCACCCATTCATTATGGTGTAATGGACACATTATTGTGAAATAAAGAGGATATAAATTCCCCCAAAGGCTTAGTGGGCAAAGGCATTGCCCTGTGTGTCACGGAAATATGAAGAGCAAGAAGATTCCAGGTTTAATTGGATGGCTTTTTCAGAGAATGAGTGCACAATCATGATGGGCTAAATGATCTTCTCTTGTGGCTGTTCATGCTATGATTGATTCTTATGACCATAATGTCAAGGAGCAGCTGTAGGCCATTCAGCCCTTTTAGTCTGCTCCACCATTAAAAGAGATCTCAGCTGATTCGGTAATCCTCAACTCCAACCTCCCTCCTCATCCTCATAACCCCTGATTCTCTTGCTTATTAAAAATCTGTGGACACGCCACCAGGTCGTCTTTGACAAAAGAGCTATAAATGTCTGATTGCAGTATGAAAGTTCGATGAAGATGACATGCCATTACACTGACAAGAGACCATTCAGGTGCTGTCACTGCTTTCAGGGAGTCATGTGATCACCAGCAAGTTCACACCAGAGAATATTGTGTGTGGGGGAAGAGATCCAAGCAATCACCCACCTTATTACACAGTACAGGTAGTTCTGCTGTAACGCGTGTTTCGTTAACGCAAATTGTTTGTCACGTGATTGATGAATAGGGGACGCTGTTTGGATAACGCAAATTTTCTCCTGTACAGGTATAGTGATTTTCTACGGCAGTTTCCTACAGTGAGATTTTCTATAGCGCAAGGTCACACAAGAACGTGACTATCACGTTATAGGAGAACTATCTGTAACTTGCTCATTTATATAAGAAACTTTTCAAAGTTCTGTGATCAGAGATTTAAAAGCAAAATAAACTTGCTGTCATATGCTTGGCTAAGTTAGCTGATCTCAGCCAGGCAAGTTCTTACGTGAACCTGCCACCACCTTTCTCCCTGTGGTAGATCAGTCTGGTTATGTATGAAGAGAGATCGGACTGATTAGGACTATCTTCACTGGAGTTTAGAAGAATGAGGAGGGATCTTACAGAAACACAGCAAGGATGTCCTGATGACCGAAGAGTCCAGTACCAAGGGCCACGATATAAGGATATGGGGCTGAGATGATGAGATATTTCTTCACCCTGAGAGTGGTGAGCTTGTGGAATTCTCCGCTACAGAAAACGGCTAAGGCCAAAATATTGAATGTTTTCAAGGAGGAGTCAAATGTACTTCTTAAGGATAAAGGTATCAAAGGGGAAAGGGAAAGAGTGGGAACAGGGAACTGAGTTGGATAATCACCATGATCAGGCTTGAAGGGCTGAATGGCCTGCGCCTGCTCCTATTGTCTATGTTTCTATGTTAATGAGCACTATCCAGGAGATGAAGAATACCCAAGGAAATGCCACCTAAGAACTAAACATTCAGAAGGAGTTGGTGAATTATACAGCACTGAACTTGGCGATAGTGAGAAGGAGAGTATGAAATAGATCAGGTTGAAAATATAGTGGAGAATCAAGCAGAATGCGTGTAAACTGAGAATGGAAATGAGAGAGGCAAAAAGACCGCACGAGAAAAGGTTGCAGTGGGCAGAGTGGCCAGACATCAGCTTTACATGTGATGTTCTGGGATTTTAGTTGCTCCGGCTACGGTAGTTTACCAAGTGGCTCTACATCCAATATTTGACTCTTTGTCCACTTACATCAGTCAGGCAACAGCAGGGTCCTGTGCTTTGTCCTTTCTCTATCTGCAGCAGGCTTGCCTAAGCAGACTCATGTAATCAGGTCTCTTTTAACACTTGTTTCCTATCCCTCCCCCACCACCTCCTCTTTGACATCTCCTGACACACATCACAAAGGTGTCCAGGTATGTTGGTCTCCAGTGCTGACTACCCTGTTAGTGAGTAACAGGCAAGGGACCACTTAAAGTCTTTTGTGAACATGTAAACAGTAATAGGATGGTCAATAAGAATGGCGGGTCTGAAGTGAGACTGTATAGGAGATCTTATTGTGGATCCACAGTGCAGGACCATAGCCATGTACAAGCCCAGCAGCTTCAAGAAAAGAGACCTGAGTTGATATAGCAACTAATGTGGCTCATAGAGTCTTCTGGCTCTGATGATTTACCTTGTGGGTCAATGGTTTACAAAGGGCAAATATTAAGAGGCAAAAGTGTCATCATCAATTTGAAGAGTTAACCAAAAGTCCAGAACACAAAGTTACCTCAGCATAACCTCTCCCAATCTCAATAGGGTTATATAAAAGGTGTGTTTTCTTAAAGTAAGGTACAATCGTCACTTGAATTCAGTGAGCATTTATATTTTAATTTACACTTTGACATGTCGCACATAAATAACATTGTAAACCAGAATGTAAACACAGAATGAAAGTTTCTAATAGAAATAAGCAAAAGCTCAAAAGGCTCCAAAACACCTAGTCGCTTTGGTCAAAGAAGAAATTTAAATTAATATAAAATACAAACAAATTTTAAAAAAAAATTAATTCCACTGTCAGCAAAGTTTCCAGACAGGTTTCTGCTACATTCATTGGAACTGAGTCCACAGCAGAGTCCAGTCGACACGAGGCACTGTGCAGCTGTTGCACAGAGTTCTCGGTTAAAAATCAAAACCAAACACAACACGGAAGCATTACAGTTAAAAAGGAATAAAGTGTATCCAGTGATAAGAGTAGTGATGCTTCGGTTTGCATTAAACCAGTCAACACAAAAACAAATAAGCTCAGTCCAGTTCTTTTTACCTCGCCCAAACTGTGCTGGTTACTGCTGCGAGGACTGTCTGGCCAGAACTTCTTGCATGGAAAAAAGACAAGTCCGTCTTTGATTTTAACTTGTTGTCTCTGATTTAGAGTTTTTTTTTGGGGGGGAGGTTAAAAAAAAATACAATTATTGCTGCTACATTACCAGTAAGCAAGAAATAACAAATCTATCCAGTTTACTTTCTGTTCGATCCCTGAACCACTGGACACACAATGAGGTAGCTGTTGTTCAGCTTTACAATCTCATCCACAATTCAGTGAAAACAGAGATAACTGAGGAACAAGATATGGGAAGAATGAAAGAGAGAGATGGAGAGGGTAGAGAGAAAGATGGGAGGGAGGAGGAACAGAAAGAGGGGTGGAAGGAGAGAAGGGATAGATGGAGTGAAGGAAAAGAGAAAATATGAGTCGAGTGAGATAAAAGGTTACAACAGGACACGAGTTAAACTTCCTGCTTTGGCAATACACCATATTGCAACAGTATTTTGCAAAACCATTTTAGAATGCTCCAATGTAAGTGACGGGTCTTTCTCCTTCTCCATTATGATGTTGTTAAACGTTTTAAGAATAAAAATGCAGTTTAAAGTATCTACAAAGAATGGCAACAGAGAAGATAAAAATAAAACATTTCATTATTGGATTACAATGATTAACTCGGTCATTGTAAACATCATTTTTAGGTATTGCTTAACAAAGTAAATTGTGTAATAAATTATTTGAATATTCCTGAAAAAATAATTCTGCTTAAAATGATTGTCTTTTAAGGTTTTTCTTTTAATAGGCTTGTCATAGCTCTGCCAAATACTTTCTTTAAGATGCCCTGAGTTGAATTGAGAGATGCGCTGACTTGGGGTGGTCGGAGGGATGGGAATTGGGTTTGGGATCAGCTCTGATGGAAAATCAGTCAAGTCTATCCTGCAACACCTGCAGATATATCTATGTACATTCAAATGCTACAGGCACCTCATCTCCTTAGGTCAGAGACACGTTGCATCTCTCTAGTTGCAAGGATCGATGTGTTCAACTGTTTCTTGCTTGACTTTTATGGGCACGAGAGGTAGAGGGCTACCATGAGACATGTTCAGGACTGGAGTCTCCAAGTTCTCGTACAGGTTGCAGCCAGAGGAGAGGAGGTTGTTGCCCAGGTTCCTTTGAAAAGGGTTCTTTAGACTGGCTTCTTGTACCTCCCTCCTGAGCATGCTGAAGATCTGTTTCTCGATCGCCGACTCTACCTCATCACTGTGCCCCAAGTCATCGAGCTTGTCCGCACTGTCACTTATGTCAAACTTGTTGATCTCCTCGTTCAGGCGGTTCAGGTCCTCCAGAGACCGCCCAGCACCCGGGGCGACGGGGCAGTTTCCTTTGAGGTGTGCCTTCAGGCTGCAATGGTGAATGTAGGTCTTGTGGCACTGCAGGCATTTGTGAGGACGCTCCCTGGTGTGCAGGCGTTTGTGCAGCTTGAGATGAACAAACTGTGTGAATTTTGCCGGGCACAGCTTGCACTGGTAAGGTTTCTCACCCGAGTGTAACCGTAGGTGGGTCTTCAGGTTGCTGGTGCTGCTGAAACGTTTGTGGCAAACCTGCACAGCGAGAAGAAGAAAAGAAAGGAGAACTCTCAGCAGACTCATTCGCAGACTAATTTCCTGTAAATAAACCAAACTCAGCATTTATAATTAAACCTGACGATCTGCCAGCTTTCAGTCTATGGGTGGTAACCTTATAGACTTGCTGCACAGGGATAATTGTATAATCACACACAGCCATAAATAATTATGCTGTAAGGGGCTTCCCAATTTGGGTCAGCAGCTTTATTCACTGAGTGCCAGACATACACTGAAAGGTATGACCAAGGTTCAAAACCCAGCCTTCGTATTCTTTCAAGGGATGTGGGCACCACTCACAAGGCCAACATTTGTTGCCCATCCTGAATTGCACTTGAGCAGGTGTTGGTGAGCTGCCTCCTTTAACCACTGTGCTGCATATGGTGCAGGAGCACCTACAGTGTGGTGAGGGAGGGAGTTCGAGGATTTTGACCCAGTGATGGTGACATTGCAATTTAGGATGCTATGTGCCTAGAAGGGCAACTTGCAGGTGGTGATAGTAGTTCCCATACACCTGCTGCCCTTGTCCTTCTAGGTGTTAGAGGCTGGGGGTTTGAAAGATGCTGTTAAATGAGTGCATATTGTATATGATACGCACTGAGCATCTGCAGTGGAGAGAATAAATATTGAAGTTGGTGGATGGGTGCCGATCAAGCTCATAATAGGACCAAGCTTCTTGAGGCTGCATTATGTGGGCAAGTGGGATTCCATCATATTCTTGACTTGTACCTTGTAGATGGTGGACAGGCTTTGGGGAGTTAGAAGGTGAGTTACTCACTGCAGAATTCTCAGCCTCTGCCTGCTCTTGTGACCACAATATTTATTTGGATGGTCCCAAGGGTGTGTAGGCAGTGGGGGATTCAGTGATGGTAGTGCCATTGAAAGTCAAAAGGAAATGGTTAAATTCTATTTTGTTGGAGATGGGGTACTGCCTGGCACTTGTGTTTCATGACTTTCACTTCCACTTATCAGAACAAGCCTGGATGTTATCCTGGATAGGATATGCTTCAGCATTTGAGGAGTTGCAAATGGCACTGAAGATTGTACAATTGTTAGCGAACATCCTCACTTGTGACCTTATGATGAAGGGAAAGTCATTGATGAATTTTTGGTCCTAGGATATTACCCTAGTCTTGCAGACATGTCCTGGCACCAAGGTGAGGTTACTGAGTGAGGTGAGAAGGGTCAGTGGTTGTGCAACATTTGGTCTACAGTTTCCAGGTGTAGTTAGGCGTGAATGTCAGCCAGGACTCCTACTCCAGATTCTGACCCTTTCTGAAATGTACGGGACATCTTCCATTATCACAGTCTGCTGACTCTCATTGTCTTGCACAATTCCTTACAAATTGGTATTGGAGTCAGACAGGAGAGGACTGTTCATTCCCATGAAGCCCAACCCCAAAGCAAAAGAAATTTTAATACACATAAAAGCCACATTTTCCCCAAGATTGATGAATTATGAGACATCCCGTGGTTCCATTAAACTTCAAATTGTTGGCTTCATTAAAAAGCTGTTGCTTATTAATCTTGCCTTTTCCTCATAGACACAACCCATTGCTCATACTACATGTCACTAATTTCTCAATCATATCTTCATCGGGCAAGACGAGAGACAGACCGATCGAGCCCAATGATTCAATCCTGCACTGTAAAGGCCTTCAATTTTGCTTGCTATTTCTCTGTTAACTGCTGATGCTTCGATCTGTTTTCATGAAATGATGACCTTCTGTGGGTGACTTACACACTAATTATTACTAAGAACAGAGTGACAGAGTGGGTGACCCTCATATGCCCTTAAAAAGTCACCGCCCTTATTGTCAGGAACAGTACAAATAGCAATAATCGCAGTGCGTTATGAAAGTGACTGACAGTGCAAGACAACAGCTTAACCATTACAGACTTTGAAAAAATGTGAAGTACAACTAAGACAGCATCATATCTGGCACCTCAATGACTTATCAGTGAACTAAAAATAAACTTTAGTAATTTCCTAATATTGCAATTTTTGCACTAAGCACACGGCATTAAATTAGCATAAGTCTAGAAAGATTAGAGCTGATTCACTGCTCAATTATCCTCAATATTTCAGCAGAATATTTTAGATTTTAAAAATATTTTTTATTTACATTAATAGAACCTTCTTCTTACCTGACATTCATGTGGCTTTTCTCCAGTATGAACTAGATAGTGCTTCTGTAGGTGTGCCAGCTGTGTGAAACCTTTATTGCAGGTCTGACACTTAAATGGTCTTTCCCCACTATGGACTCTCAAGTGGACCTGGAAAGAAATAATAAGTTCTCCACTTACAATTCATGTCACCGTTTTATATAAATAAAGCACATTTAGCATTTCAGATTTTAAAAAATACATTTTTTGCAAGAATGTAATCTCATAAAATCTATTAAGGAAACCATTGAGTGAGAGAAATTGGTCCACACTAAAACAAAACCAGAAGGTGAATTTTCACTGCATCTAATGTCTTTTTCAAGTAATTGGAAAATACAAAGGCTGACATTGAGAAAAATTGGGTGCTGATTTGCTAAGTGCCTCCTTATGAATGGATGTGACCTAATTTCACCACTAAAACTTTATTCATAATTACATTGTTCCGAGCCTTTAAATAACTATCACAGTAACTTTGCCATCCCTGTTTTAATGGAGGAAATGGAGCAACCAATTTATGCACAGCAAGCTCAACAAACATCAATGAAATAGAGACAACAAGGTGCAGGGCTGGATGAACACAGCAGGCCAAGCAGCATCATAGGAGCAGAGAGGCTGACGTTTCGGGCCTAGACCCTTCATCAGAAAAGGGGGAGGGGAAGGGGGTTTTGAAATAAATAGGGAGAGAGTGGGAGGCGGATAGAAGAGGGATAGAGGAGAGGATAGGTGGAGAGGAAACAAACAGGTCGAAGAGGCGGGGATGGGGCCAGGAAAGGTGAGTGTAGGTAGGGAGTTAGGAAGGGGATAGGTCAGTCCAGGGAGGACGGACAGGTCAAGGGGGCGGGATGAGGTTGGTCGGTAGGAGATGGAGGTGCGGCTTGGGGTGGGAGGAGGGGATAGGTGGGAGGAAGAACAGGTTAGGGAGGCAGGGACGAGTTGGACTGGTTTTGGGATGCGGTGGGGGGAGGGGAGATTTTGAAACTTGTGAAATCCACATTGATACCATTGGGCTGCAGGGTTCCCAAGCGGAATATGAGTTGCTGTTCCTGCAACCTTCGGGTGGCATCGTTGTGGCACTGCAGGAGGCCCAGGATGGACATGTCGTCTGAGGAATGGGAGGGGGAGTTGAAATGGTTCGCGACTGGGAGGTGCAGTTGTTTGTTGCGAACCGAGCGTAAGTGTTCTGCAAAGCGGTCCCCGAGTCTCCGCTTGGTTTCCCCGATGTAGAGGAAGCCACACCGGGTACAGCGGATGCAGTATACCACATTGGCAGATGTGCAGGTGAACATCTGCTTGATGTGGAAAGTCTTCTTGGGGCCTGGGATGGGGGTGAGGGAGGAGGTATGGGGGCAGGTGTAGCACTTCCTGCGGTTGCAGGGAAAAGTGCCGGGTGTGGTGGAGCTGGAGGGGAGTGTGGAGCGGACAAGGGAGTCACGGAGAGAGTTGTCCCTCCGGAAAGCAGATAAGGGTGGGGAGGGAAAGATGTCTTTGGTGGTGGGGTCGGATTGCAGATGGCGGAAGTGTCGGAGGATGATGCGTTGGATCCGGAGGTTGGTGGGGTGGTACGTGAGGACGAGGGGGATTCTTTTTTGGTTTTTATTGCGTGGACGGGGTGTGAGGGATGAGGTGCGGGAGATGTGGGAGACACGGTTGAGGGCGTTCTCGACCACCGAGGAGGGGAAGTTACGGTCCTTGAAAAACGAGGACAACTGAGATGTACGGGAGTGGAATGCCTCATCCTGGGAGCAGATGCGGCGGAGGCGAAGGAATTGGGAATAGGGGATAGCATTTTTGCAGGAAGGTGGGTGGGAGGAGGAGTATTCTAGGTAGCTGTGGGAGTCGGTGGGCTTGAAATGAATATCGGTTTCTAGGTGGTTGCCCGATATGGAGACAGAGAGGTCCAGGAAGGGGAGAGAGGTGTTAGAGATGGTCCAGGTAAATTTAAGGTTGGGGTGGAAGGTGTTAGTGAAGTGTATGAACTGTTCGAGCTCCTCGTGGGAGCACGAGGCGGCACCGATACAGTCATCAATGTAACGGAGGAAGAGGTGGGGTTTAGGGCCGGTGTAGGTACGGAAGAGGGATTGTTCCACGTAACCTACAAAGAGGCAGGCGTAGCTTGGGCCCATGCGGGTACCCATGTAGTTTTTTTTAAGCATTGTTGGTTAAGGGATAAATTGTCCAAGGCACTGCAGCATGCCATTTTACCTTTGAGACATGATCTGACTCACTAGGTTTCTTCAGCAGAATAATCTTTTAAGAAATAAATACCTTGAGATTTGATAGCTGTCCAAAGGTCTTGTAGCAGACATTGCACTCATACTTGATCTTCCCATTCTGCTTCTTTAGAGGATATGGGAGTGTTTTGTAACCGGTAAGACTTCGCTTTGGTTTAATAAGATTCATGGCTTCTTCACTGCTGCTGCTGGTGCTGCTGACCAAGCCAGCTGAGGTAGGTTTGGGTTGCATTAAATGTTCGGAATAGGAGGCAGCTGTACCAGCTGTCGGGGAACCGTTGCAGGGGCTTGAAGGCCTGTCTTTCAAACTGGCAGCAGAGCCTGCAATTGAAAAGGCACTGTTCCGCGCTGGTATGAGAAAGTCTTTCTGCTGCTCAGGAAGCAGAAGTCTTCGGGTTCCTTCAGGGTGTAACGCACTGGGAAGGACCGTCTGGTTGAACAGGTGCTGGGACAGGCCTCCGTTTCCCAAAAGACCGCCGTACAAGGGGTACATTTTGGGAAGAAGGCTGAAGCTGTTCACACCATTGATGCCTGGGAAGCCATTCAAGCCATTACAGCCAACTGGGTAATGAGGTAACAAGAACCTGGAATATTGAGTGTTTACTGGATTATAGGAATGCAAGAAGGCTGAAGGCAAATGGCCAGGAGGAGTGTAGGCTGTGAAGGAACTCAATCCTTCTCGGTTGTAAGGTCCGCTCAAGTAAGGAAAGGCCTGTCTGTGTTCCTGAGTCGAAGGTGTCAAAGGGGAAATGTGAGAATCTGGACTGCTGTGTGGCGTTGAGCTTTTCAAACTTTGGTCTGGGCTGCTTCTAGATGATGGACTGGAGGTAAGTGAAGACTGGATCGGAGAGTGTTTGACATAACCATGCCTCTCGATCCCAAAAACAGGACTAGGTTTCAAGTAGTCATCTGGAACGTGAGGTCTGACTGGGTACACAACACGAGGGAAGAAGGTTCGTTCTGGGCTATGCTTTTTGTTGATGTCCTGCATTTCTTTATCCAGAGCCATCAGCGGTTGGATAGCCTGTACTTGGTTCTTTTCCTTCACCATGTTTCCCTCACCACTTTGCCTTTTGTGCATCATATTGTCACTCTTCACTCTGTCACCCAGGTCACTCTCATATCTTTTTTCCTTTGGTCTTTGTTCTGTAGCAGAAGCTGGGCAAGGGAGAGAAAGAAAAGAAATCAGGAAATGAATTGTTTAAAAAAGAACATTTCTCAGCATTTCACATGTTTTTAAATAAAAGGGAACAGCGTAAACAATCAGAGGAATTGGACATTGAGCAGCATTTTGATTTGACAAGCTTGTTATCAGGAAGTGGTGACTTTTTTTAACTGATGTGGTACAATATGATCACCAGCACACTTTCACTATCCTCGATGTCTGAGACAAATATAAAGGCCCTGCCCTTAGCATGTCTACGCGTTAGAGGCAGCAACACAATGGACCAACCTGCACCAAGCCACATGCTCACTGGGTTTTTTTACAGGGACTACTTTACAAAAACTAGGAACAATCCAAGTGGTACAATCTTTCTCACCAGCAGCAGTAATCTGAATCAATGAGTTCAGATGTTAACAAAAGACAAGAGCACAGAACAACTGGTTTGTAAAGCGCCCACTTATCCCAGATTCCTGCTAATGAGGAGGGAACCTCAGCCCTGTCTCCACATAAATGACCTTTGCATGCTCTACTTCTGTTCTGGGTGAGGTAGCCCCCTGGTCCTAAGCATGTTGGGTGTGGCCACTGAGGTGGGGAGCGCTGAGCTGTATTGGTTGAAGACTCATTGTGGTTCTTTGGGTCTCTGTTTCAGTTGTATTAAAGGCCCTGTAGCCCTCGCCATCATACCCTTTATCCCCAACTGTTCCCCTGTTCCCTCCATTTCCCAATGCGAGTTCCACGTCCCTCTTGGAATCCAGCCAAGCTTTTATATTGAGGTAATCTGTAGAAACAGATGTTCTGCCATTTTTTTTGTTGATGCAGTGAAGTGGCTAGTTGAATCTATGATGCAATCTATATTGGGTGAACTAGAGAAAAGAGGATTCAGGGGACATGGAAGAAATGTGGGGATAATGGGATCCGTGTGGGGCATAGAGGCAACGTGGGAGCATGGTAAGATCTACAAAGTTTACATTTCAAAAAGGTACTGGCATCAAAACCCCCCTGTGACACCATTAATGATGAAACCTTGAATAGCTAGCCAGACTGCACAGAAAGTATGAGTGGGGTATGAAATGACATTTTTAAAAGATGCTATAATCTATGACTACACAAGAAAATGAAAAACCCACATTGATATCATATTTTAAAAGCGACTCAGAGCATTTCTAATACTCTAAAAAGTGAGGTCAGTAACATAGTGAAAGAACAAAGAGGTCCAGGGATGCAGATATAAAGATCTCTCTGGATGGATGGGTAGGGAAATCTGTGGAAATCTTTGCTTGGCACAAAATGGCATTGAATTTAAAAACAGGAAGGAGTAGTGAAATAAAAACAAGAAAATACAGGAAATATGCAGCAGTGCATGTGGAATGGGAAACCATTTCAGATTAGTGACTATCTGCCAGGGCTGTGAAAACTTAGAAGATGCAGCACGTTTCATGCAAACACAGAGGCAGAGAAGAGGGAGATGGGGAGAAAAGAGCAAAAAGAGAAAATTTGAAGGCAGGAATGATAAAGCGATGATGATGCAAGGGAAAAGGCAGAAGGTAATGGACGACGAGAGAACAAAGGTTGAAAGGAGACAATAGCAGAATCACTAACAAGAGCTGCTATTCAAAGACTGACGCGATGATTACAATGTGAAATTGTTCAGCTCGATGGTGGATCCAGAAGAAATGAATTGCCCAACTGAAATGAACACCATTGCACTTTCTTGTAACACTGTAAGAGGTCATGGACAGAGAGGCAGAGTGTGATTCGGGCTAAGGATTAAAATGACAGACCACCACAAGATCAGAAACTCTCTTGTGGGCTGACCAAAACAATCACCCAAACTCCACTTGGTCTCCTCAATGCAAATAAGAGCAAACTGTGAAGGCGTAGCAAAAACTCACTAACATAAAACCACAAAGAACAGATTATTTGTGCCGGTATTATAAAAGGCTTTAAATATTGGAACAGAGAAGGCTAAGAGAGACCTAATAGAAACTTCAAACATTATGAGATGTTTTAGCCGGATTAATAGAAAAGGATCGTTTCCATTTTGGCATCTATCATGATATTGATTGATGATTATCACCAGAAGAATGAAGGGTTGAATTAAAAGATTTTTTTGATTTGGAAGAATGTTTTTAGCAACCCACGGCAGACTTTAAGACATTTGTAAAATGACTAGGCTAAGTATATGAACAGGGACAAACATAAAATAAAATGAAGTAATAAGATTGGAGCAAATCAGAAGTGGGGACGGGCTTGGTAGAGTTGTGTTGAGTGAAACAAGATTTCCATCCTCTGTGCTGTCATTTCTGTGGCCATATGCAATGAGGTTTTCTGAAGTGCGCTCACTAATCCAGGCAAAAGCAGCTGGCGTTTTAAACAAGACATCAGCATTGGCGTGAAGGTTCCTATTGCATAAGGGTATATGGGTTTGAAAGGGTTAATGTTGTGGAGTGCCTTAAGCCTTGCCCAATATAATGATGTCATATGGACTTGGGTAGGACAATAGTTTAGGATCAGTGTAACCTGCACATAGTTACTATCAGTGCAGTAAACCTGGTGATAACTGCCATGGATCACCCATACAACATCACCTTAGTCTGATTTTGTTGGTTGGGAGAACATTCCTCAGTTGCATTAAGGGATGTTTAATGTCTGGATGACCCACCTGAAGAGAGATAGATGTGGCCTCATCAAAAAATGTCACTTATGCAGCACTCCCCAAAATGTCTCAGAACTGAAGAGATTAGCCTAGATACATTTAGGTCTGGAGTTCTTTTATAACTAATACCATTTGTTTTGGAGAGGGGACTGCCTACACTGAGCCAGGAGCAGATCATTATGCCCAACAAGTCTGTCTGCTTTATATATATCAGGGCTGTTCCAGTGTTTGATAAAGCAAATATCACTGTCTTGATAAAATGAGCATTTTTGGGGTCATGGGCAAAGAAATCTCTCCTATTAAGTCTACAAGTCACTGCAATTAACAACTCAGCCATTCAGAAAAAGAAAAAAAACTGGATGAAGCATCTCTTTGTTGGCTCCCTACACTTTAAGTACAAAGTGCTCCCTAATCAATGGATATGGGCAAAGGATTGGGTACTTAAAGTCAAGCTGAATTGTCTTTGTGAAGAGCTAGTATGGGTCATGAAGGGCTGAACAGCCTTCTGTACTGTGACCATAATATGATTCTGTGCTTCATGTATGGATGTGGGCAACTCTAAGCTATGATGTGACGTCCATAACTGCTGAAATACTGCCATATAGGCCTCAGGACCCTACAGTTAATGTGTCTTCACTGAACCAAGTTTGACCAGATGAGCATGGCATAACCAATTTTTCTTTTTGTCAGATAAATTCCTGCACCGGGTGGTAGGAAAACAAGCAGCTCATTCCCTAGGTGTTTTCTTTCCGTGTGGTGTTTACAGTCCTGGCAGTCCATTTCCATCAATACCAAACCTGTCACAGTCACCTGTTTAAGTGAGGACACACGCCCCAGCTGCCATTTAACTTGACATCCCTGAGCTGTCAGACAAAGTGCTTTTGGAAGCCAGGATGAGTGTGCTTAAATTTCAGGCATAATGATGGACGACTGCTGTATTATAGCACTCAATGCCTCTCCACACTGCCAGCCCTAAACAAACAGCAGTGAGTGGACTATGTAGGCAAGGTGCTGATAGTAACCACTGATAGCATGATCTGGCTTCCTTGGGCCACTAGACAAAAATAAATAGAAGGTTATCGAGGAGATACCTATCTCTGAAATAGGGCTTGGCAGGCAGGAAGTTCAAGTAGTCATTGAACTTTTCTCAGTCACTGCACCGGAAAGTAAACTGTCAGTGAACCCCAGAGCGAGCCAAATGGCAGGGGGGGGGGGGGGAAGGGGGGGGTGGAACAACACATTAAAATAAGGGATCCCTTTGGCAAGGTGGACTAAGAGAGCAAGAGGATCACAGCATATTTCATTTCACTGTAACATTGCTCCAGTGAGGTGCAGTCTTCCTGCAACTGTCCTTAAAGGCACAGTTTTTGTTTTGAGAAATCAGGCACAAAGTAAAGCAGTGTTACCATGACAACTGATGTGCAGAGTTAAGCTGTCCTGCTATTTCCTCTTCAAACACGTGCGCTTGTCATTCTTTTAAAAAAAGAGCAGAAACCCACAACACACTTGCAGATTATTGATAGACACTGGAGTTTATGGGCCTATCAGTTTTCAGACCACCCTACTTTTCTTTTATTCATTCATTCATAGAATGTAGGCATCACTGGCCAGGCCAGCATTTATTACCCAGAGGGCGGTTAAGAGTCAACCACATTGCTGTGGGTCTAGAGGTACATTTAGGCCAGACTAGGCAAGGATGGCCGTTTTCCTCCCTAAAGGACATGAGTGAACCAGCTGGGTTTTTCTGACAATTGACAGCGGGGTTTCATCATCAGATGCTTAATTTTTATTGAATTCAATTTCCTCCATTTGCCGTAGCAGGATTCAAACACAGGTCCCCAGAACATTACCTAGGTCTCTGGAATAAAGATGTCGCATTAATACAACTAGGCCATCACTTGCCCATGTGTGTAAATATAGAAGTGATGGATAAAAGGCCAGTCCTAGCAGACTCCTCCTTCACCTTACTCTGTGGAACAGACATTTCAAACTGATCGACATAAACCTTTCACAGCATTTCTCAACTCAAACACAGCATGCGTTCAAAATGATTGCTGTGGTTTGATATCAAGATTGGTTCATATCCCTCTCCTTCCCACTCTAACACACTTCCCAGAATATTAGATAACTCTCCTTTAGGTGCACATTAGTGGAAATAGCTGCAGGGGAAGAGGATTGCAGTTATGCAAATAGTTAACATTGCAATTGTAGAAAGGATCAGTTGGTCTCAAAGGCACTGCGTTTGTGGGTGGGGAATGCCTCTGACACGGAAGTATGATTGCTGCACACATCACACCGTGCCTCTTAATTCTGCTGAATCACTTCTGATACTAAATTAAGGAACAACTGGGTGGGCCTCACACTCAGTTCTGAAGAACAAAATAAAAAGGCCCATGTTCAGAAGTAGAATAGCCCACAGGAGATTTAGATGCCAGCCTCGGAGATTACTCCAGGCTTGCTTGACAAACAAGCACTGAATGGAACAGTAATAAAAGTACAAGTAACTCATAAACAGGGACTGCTGCAATCCTCTTATCTGCAGTTAAAGGATGACTTTCTCATTGCCTTCATGCATCTACTCCCAAGGTTGCAGGATGTGACTATCTTACATTTGGCACTTCTATCCTGGGAAGAAGCAGTAAATAAAAAGTTTCCAATGTTTCATTTACAGAAAACAAAGACATACCCCTCTGCTGTCTGGCTTCAGTCAACCACATCCTGAAAATCCCTTATATTGTATGGTAATATAGTTAGAGAGCCAGAAGTGGGGACTGGGCAAGGGGGTGAAGTGGGGTGTAGAAGAATTTTATAGTGTGGAAATCAAGCATTTGTTTGAAAAATCTCCAAATGATTGCTTTCTTAAGAACTTTCTTGGTAAATCCTGAATGTACAGAACAGTAATTCAGTTGCATTACATTGTTTAGCAAAAGCACAATTGCAGAATCATTACGTCACTGAAGGAGGCCATTTGGCCCATCGGGTCTGCACCAACTCTTTGAATCAGACTAAATTAGCTGTTTTGTAAAGGCTATTTAGGTTAACGCAAAAACAAAAATTCTTAGCAAAATGGGTCGCAGGATAACTTCTGTGTACCCAAGTAAATTTTCAATTGATTTACATGCGTTTGTCTGCCATTGGCAAATTATAGTGAAGACTGTAATAATAGTACTGAAAACTGCCATCTTAACACAGTTTGTTCAAAAAGATCATGATTTGTTTTTGTTCTAATGGTTGATTTTACAACTGCTCAATTTGAAACCATTGCCAGCTTCAACTAAAATGTGCATGAAATCAAAGGAATTAAATCTGAAACATTCTGAAAAAACACAAATGCCATATTCCTGTTAAGTGCTGTAACAGATCATACACAAACTATAAGTATTTAGAGATCTAGAGAGATAAGAAGTGTGCTCCTGGATTGGAAAAATCTATAAATAATCCTATTTCATAAATTAGCAATCATAAGATAACTTGCACCTACTCAAAGAGTGTTGGAATGAGATGTATGCTAATTAAAGAGGAACTGAACTTGCTGGCACATATTATAATGAAAGGAAATGATGTATTGAACAGCTAAAAATGAGTTAATACTGAATAGAACAAATCTCCATAAAAACTAGTAATTGATGAATTGCTATTTATGATGTCCTATCCTCATTCCCTGTTTGAGCTCAGATATTTAGGCTCTGAGGGATAGAACATCCAAAAACATTCCCATTTATGGAATACTGTAAGGGAATGTTCTGCAATAAAAGATTATCCTAGCCAACTTTAGTAGTTTTCTTTTCCTCTAAACAAATAGAACTTGTCCTCACCATCAGGCTGATCTCCTGATCTGTGCTGCCATTTTCCCTGAAGTTCCTCCCTTCGAGGCAGGTCAATGCACTCTGGAAATGTGGAAATAAAAAGAAAATTGAGGTAAACCCTAAAAAGATAAATATTTAAGACCTTAAGAAATAGGAACAGGAGTAGGCCATTTGATCCCCTCAAGCCTGACCCGCCATTCAATAAGATCATGGCTGATCTGACGTTCCTCACGATCGCTTTCCTGCATTTTCTCATAATCCTTGATTCCCTACTGAATCTATTTCAGTTTTAAACATACACCAGGGCTCTGCCCAAACAGCTCTCTGTGGCAAGGAGTTCCAAAGACTCAACACCTTCTGAGAGAAGAAATTCCTTCTCATCTCAGTTTTAAATTGGCCCCCCCTTTATTTTGAGACAATACTCTCTGGTCCTAGACTCTCAGGAGGGGAAACATTTCATTTACAGCAACATGTTTCATACAATCCCTACGAAAATTAAACCCTAGTTTCCCTCTGTACATTGGTAATGAATAGTTTGGGGCTGATTTCTTGTGTATCTAATGTGGTTCCACCCTGGTTGAGATGTTGCTGTTGAAGGAAGGTGGCTGAGCACCAGACAAACAAGTTCCAGGCCCCAAAAACAAATCATGTCAAAAACCCCCAAAGGGATGAGCAAAGATTAATGCTTCATATCAGTGAAGTGTCAGAGAATGGGACTGACTGGTGGAGCTGGGTAGGAAGAATACACAGTAACTACCCCATGAAGCTTTTCCATGAATTAACCATAGAATAGAAACAGAGACCCACAGAGCAGTCCTTATGGCCACCCACCTTGGCACATCACCAACAAAAAGCTTAAAAGTGAAAATTAAAGTAAAAAAACTGAAATGTGTTGTGACTTTTCAAAATTGTGAATTTGAAAAATGTCATTTCAGATGCTTTTTAAACAAAGTATTTTGTTTATATTTCCTTGGGATTACATTCACTTTATAATTTGCTTCACCTGGAAAGAGCATGTTAATAAGATAAGTTCATGCAGAAAGTTACTCCTCCTACATCATAATCATATCACTTTTACACTTTGATTATTTATTTCTTAAAACCAAAATATAAAAATAAGAGATATATAATTTATTTGAATGGATGGGGAGTTCCCTTTGTACACAGTGTGTAGTTGAAACAAACACACGACTATTAACTATCCTTATGAAGGGTCTTTGGACCCACTGCCTGCCTTACTCTCAGGAAACTGTTAGAGGTTCAACATTTGCAATGTTTCCCCTGATGATACAGTGTGTCAACTGGCATTGATTTCTCTGCAGTGAGAACCTGCTCGATTTGACTCCAATCCTGGGCAGAGTCCGACAAAACTCAGTGAAGGAGCCAACGGGACATTTTTAGAAGATTACTGATCATATTGACTAACTGAAAACTGTAATCCATTGTAAAGACAACCGCTACCAGACATACAGAATGCTGAATGGTGACCAAGACTGGATGTTGGAAGGTTGTGAGAATTTGTGGGGCCTTCACACTCAGCAATAGACAATAGAGAAATGAGAAAGCTGGCAATTTTTAAGAACACAAAAAAAAATCCAACTGCAACAGCCACAAGTTGTTCCAGCACTTTCAAAGCTCTCTCTCTCTTTTTTTCTCTCTCTCTCTATGCACATGCATGCACAGCTCTTAACACTTTACACCAGAACCCAATCCTATGCTGTCAAAGTATGTGCTGGTCACCCAACTGAGTGCTCAACAATCTGTACTACTGAGGTTGGCTGACATCATCAAGGCAACATCTCTTACCCATCTCTGGTTGCCCTGAAGAAATTAAAGGTCAGCCTGGAAGCAGCAAGATGAAGCTTGGAATTACTTCCATTGTCTTTATTTTCCCTGGTGCTAGTCTGCAAATTACCAGATTCTTTTTTAAAAAGAAAACTTTCACAGCTAGTCTTGATGAGTTATTACTCTGCGTTGTTGTAGCTGCCAAGTTACAGCCATAATATCAACAAAACCACATTCCTAATATGAAAATAAAGCCATTAGATCACTCAACCTTATCCTCTTATATCAATCTCACCTCAATGTGACTATTCCAATGATCTCTGATGGTCCCCTGCCTAACATGTCCTAACTTGTATCAAATTCTTTCACCCACCACTATTGCCATCAGCTCCTGGTCTGTCAATTATACAATCCTCATTCCGTGTTCAAACCCCTCCAGAATCTTAACCCCACACCTCCACCCAATACTATCTCTGTAACCCTCTATGGTCCTACAATCCTGTCTATGATATCTGTGGTTCCTCACCTCTGCCTCTTTTGTGGCTTCATCCAAGTGTTTCCACAATAAATCAACCCATATGCTATCCAAACCCAAACTACCCATCTCTCACCGGACTTAGCTGTAACCCTTGGTATAAGCTTCGGATGCAATGATATAATTCAGGACTCTGCCTCATGGTGGCAAAAAGGCAATTCCATTCAAATTCACTCTGCAAGAGTTTCACACAGATATATCCAGGAATGTCTTGTTAAGTGGGTACGCTAGGGCTAAAATGATGGCCCGTACAGCATTCAGCGTGATGCACTTACTTAGCTTAGTCATCTGAAGATCCCGAGAGGCTGGGATTTTAAGGCGTTCTGCAAACTCGCTGCTGTACCAGACTAGTAACTCTTCGTTGGCCGGGATGGGCTTCACTGTGTAGAAGTAGATGTCCATCCCATTCTGACAAGCTGCCAGGCACTGCTCCTGCTTCCAATGGGCTGGATTCACATATCGCATCCAGTTACTTTTGCTCTCATCAAACCCGTCGACAAAGTGATGTAAGTTACCATTGGAGTACACCTGAAATGCATTTGGAGAAAGGCAGAGATTTAAAATTAAACGTACAAATGCAGATCTCTTCCATCCCATCAAAATATGAACACATTTAGCCAGATAAGTGGAGCAATAGTCTTTGGTGCTAACTAATAAATAATTACGAATGAATTTCAATATGGCCATTGGAATAGTCAAGAATACCTCAAAAGTTACCTTCTCTATTTGTTCGCACTTCTTTTATCTATTTTTACAATACAGGTTTGGTGATGTATTCTGATTTCAATATGGGAACAAGCCCTGTCTTGCTGCATGTGTGATTAGCTTGTAAGGACAGGTGGATGCTAGCACCCCGGCTTCTGTTCTGACTGTGCTTTTATGTACACACACTGTGTTGAGTCACCTGAAGTCCTGACGTCAAAGTGTACTCAAATTGAATCTGAGGCCTCCATTTTCCTGCCGCCCCCTCTCTGAGTGCTACGGCTATGCAAATCTCTTTCAGTTTCGTTGAGAGATGTTTGCTTGTGGTACTCAGCTCCACAGATGACCTGGGGAGGGAACTCGCACAGCAATCACCTGCCACAGCAGGACCGGCAGCTGTGTGGAAGCAGATCAAAGTGTTGACCTTCGCAGAATGTTCCTTCCCGCCGCAATTACCTTGCACTTCACTCCTGTAGATCCTGCTTACCATCTTTTGAAATACTCATTACTTTCCTATTTATCTTGCTTATATATAAACGTATCCTGCAAAATCAACTAGGCTCATCAAGTGTGGGCGAGAAGGGGTTGGGGGCGGGGATGGTCAGTAGAACCACATGTGGGTTTTTTTTGATATGAACCCACTTTACAGCTTGCGGTGTATTTGTTATGAGAAACTGGAGCAGCAGAAGTAGTGCAGAGTGATGTGTGAACAAGTATGTTTTCAGGTTTTTGTTTGGTCTGTAGAGCTTTCTCAAACTTCCAGGAATGGATGACTCTGCTGCTTCCATTACGAGGCACTTTGTGTGTGTTCGAAATTAACTTCCGACTGAGTTTCCATTGTATCATTTACTGTACAGTTTTCAAAAAATGTAACTGAGACATAGGCTCCAATGTCATCAGTGCAGCCCTCTTTCAAATCTTATTTCCACAGTGTGATGACACAGGAAAGAGAGACAAAAAAAAAGTAACATTTACATCTCATGGCTAAACCAATTTCTGGTAATTAGTAATATATTTTGCAATCTTGGCTAACTGCAGTTATGCTTACCACAAATTTAGTATTAAGGCCAAACCCCAAGACCCAAATGACTAAAGATTCAAAACAAGCTCAAGATGGTCTAGAAATGGTTTGATTATTTAATTGGTATAGGTTAGAGACGTCTACAAAATTCATAAATGACTACCTCTTGCATGTTTGAAAAGAATACTAACTCAGCTCTGAAACAATCATTTACGGCAGCTTTGACTGTACAAGGTGAAGTTATGGAGGCTGACATTAAGCTGGAGCTGTATGCCCTGCACTTAAACTGTCTTCGGCAGCACAAGGCACAACTGCTTTACATATGAAAGCTTGTGAGTAAAATCTGCCAAATTCTGTGCTAAAAAAAACTCCCAAACACCAGCCTTACACCTCACCTCCAACTTACTCTGGAATTACATAGAAATTACAACAAGGAAAGAGGCTGAGTTACTAACTGTGGCAATCTTTTCCACAATCTCAAAACGAACCTTGTGAAAATGCAACTCCTGTGCCTTTGATCTAAATAGCCTATATTTAATGCTATATCCATACCTGCTTATCCTATACTATTCAAGCATTCAAAACCATTTCTATCTATCCTGTTGTACTCCTTCATAAGTTATCATTTCAAACGCTGTGAGATTGGCCTGTCATCTCTAATATACTAATAATAGCCCAATGATAATAAGGGTGGCACTAGATTGCTACCAAGAAAAAGATGTATAAGCTACCTTTAACTGCAGTCAGTTCCAAAGCTCATAGATGTCAAATAGGATGGAGAAAGAATCCCGTTTCTTGTCAGGTTAACTTTATAAATCATTAAAAGTGTAAATATGGGAACAGAAGTATGTCATTCAATATGATCCTGACTAATCTTGTACCTCCATTCTCCTGCATTACTCCAACATCGTTTAATTTCCACAGCAATCAAGAATCTGGAGGAGCACATGAACATGCGACAGACAGAGCCATGTGATCCTACAACCAATGAAATCAGAGCTAGGCTCAGCATTCCTGTCACATCCATTCAGTTATGGTGGTTGTCAGCTAGACAACTAACAGGTGGAGGAAGGTCCACAAGTATCCCCATCCACATTGACCGGGACAGCACAGCACATCAGTACAAAGGCTGAAGCATTTTCAACCATATTCAATCAGAAGGGCTAAGTAGATGATTCACCTCAGTCTCCTCCTATGGTCCCCAACAACACAGATTCCAATCTTTAGTAAATTTGATTCACTCCATGAATCAAGAAATGGCTTAATGACTGGATATTACAATGCCTGTAGGTTCTGACAACATTCCAACAATAGTACAGAAGACTGATATTCCAGAATTTGCCACTCCTCTGTCTGTGCTGTTGCAGCACAGCTACAAAACTGGCATCTTCCCAGCATGGTGGAAAATTGCCAGATTTGTCATGTCGATAAATAAAAAGGACAAATCCAACTCAGCTAATACCAGTGTACTTCCAATCATCAGCAAAGTGATGGAAGGAGTCATTGACAATGCCATCAAGTGGTAGTTATACAGTAATAAACTGCTCACTGATGCTCAGTTTGGGGTTCTGACAAAGCCACACATCTCCTGACCCCATTAATGCCTTAGTCTGAACATGGACAAAAGAGCTTGATCTCAAGAGGTGAGGTGAGAGTGACTGCCCTTGACATTAAGGCAGTAATTGACCCATTGTAGAAACTGCAAGAACTGCAGGCAATGCATTCATAGCCAGCAGAAAGGAACACAGTGATGATTCTTGGAGGCCAACCATCTCAGACTCAAGATTCCTAAAGGCCAATCACAAACAATTGGAAAACAAACCCTGAAAAACCAAATATCTCAACTTCACACTTGCACTTCACGCACCTCCTCCCCACTCCCTATCCCTCCTGCCCCACACCTTCTCCACATACCATCTGTGGGAGGGAGTGTGCTGGATCGGAAGAAAGTCATGTTTGACCTTGAGGGACAGGCTAAGAAGATGGGTATTCCAGTCTGATTTCTGGTCAATCGCAATCCTAAGCACATTAATAAATTGGGATGGGGATGTGGAATTGTATTCTGTGATAGCCATTGGTTGAATATGTAGCCCAAAGGAAGATGGTTACAGCTATTGGAGCACAATCATTTCAAGGGCAGAACTGCCATAAATCCTCAAGATAGTGCATCATCTTCGGCTGCTTCATCAATGACCTTTCCTCCATCATTGGTTCAGAAGTGGGGATGTACAGTGATGACACCCATCTTCAGAAGGAGAGAATCTAACCATGTTCCCCCGACCTTCAATGATATGCCAGCTGTGGGGAGAACTGGACTTGCCAGATCGGTACAGTAGCTACATGGACAGGTCAGAAGGTAGCAACTCTGAGATGACCATCTCACCACCTGATTCCCAAGGCTTGTCCACCATCTATAAGGAGTACAATGAAATACTCCCTACTTGCTTGAATGGTGTCATATAATATTCAAGAAACTCAACACTATTGAGGAAAACAGGACTACTGACAATCCTCTCCAAGCCTCAGACTGTCCTAACTTGGAATTGTATTGCTGATACTTCACAATCATTGTGTCAAAATCCTGGAATGCCCTTCCAAACTGCAATCTGAATGGTTCCAAGAAGGTCGCCACCTTTTTCAGAGCTATTAGCAATAGGTGATAAAAGCTGGCCCCGTCAATGATGTCTATATCCCATGAACAAATTAAAAAAAGAAAAAAACATGTTCATCATGGACCATTTTGTGATTGCATTACCATATGGAGCTCAGGTTTGTAATTAGATATCTGTGACCTGAGGGCTGAAATCTATGCTGACACAAAAGGGTACATGTATGTGTACATGAGTATGTTTGAGTGTGTGAACTTGTGTGCGTGTATATATATGCACGTCTGTGTATTTGCATGCATATATGTGTGTATATACATGCGTGTGTGCATGTGTGTATGCATGTATGTGCATATATGCGTGTATGTGCGTATATGTATGTGTGTTTATGTGTGTATGTGCATATATGTGTGTATGTGTGTATATGTGTGTATGTGCTTATATGTGTGAACGTGTGTTGCTGGTTGGAGAATGAGCGACGGGCTTTGGATTATAACAGAGAATATAGATTTATTGGGATTTTGTTGAGATTTCTGCTGATTAATTTGGTTTTAATCTGCAATAAACTTGTGGCTGGATTTAATTTCTCATCATCAAAAGATAGGAAAAGGACAAGAAGAAATGCCATCACTCAAGAAATAACAGAGTCTCTAGAGGGAAGTGAAAGAGGCCAGTAACTAAAATCCTCTACTTTCTGATGAATCTTAGAGGTTACAGAAGGATGAAAGCAAACAATTATGAAAAGCAGGTTTGACAAGCCTAAGGCACTGTGGTGAATATCCTGAATATAATATGGATTGGTTTCCATGGCAGAAGGATGACAACAGCAGCATCACAATATTTTTTTTATTGTGCCTTGACTCCTTTCCGAATGACATGAAGATTGACTGGGTGGTTAATAGTGAGCTAGAAGGTCTTAGGTTACAGAATGATATAAATGGATTGATCAAATGGGTAGATCAGTGGCAGATAGAACTTAATCCTGCTAAGTGTGAGGTGCACTTTGGCAGAAGTAACAAGAAGTAACAAGACACAGGGTACTCAATGAATGACAGGTCCGTAGAAAGTTCAGAGGAACAGAGGGATCTTGGGTTACTTGACAGCAAAGGTTAATAGAGTGGTAAAGAAGGTAAACGGGACATTTGCCTGTATCAGTTGCGGCATGGATTAAGAGTAGAGAGGTTATGTTAGAATTATACAGGATTTTGGTTAGGCCTCAGCTTGAGTACAGTGTGCAATTCTGGTTATCGCACTATAGAAAGGATGTGATTGCACTGGAAGGTGTGCAGAGGAGATTCACCAGAATGTTGTCTGGGATGGAACAGTTTAGCTTTGAGAAAGGTTGTTTTCTTTAGAGCAGGGAGGGCTGAAAGGGGACCTGATTGAGGTATATAAGATTACAAAGGAAACGGACAAGTAGATAGCCACTGTTAATCCTAGATGAAGGGACAATAACAAGGGGGTTGTAATTTTAAGGTAAAGGACAGAAGGTTGAGAGGGGATTTGAGAAAAAATATTTTCACCCAGAAGGTGGTGGAAATCTGGAATACACTGCCTGCGGGGAGTAATTGAGGCAGAAAGTGTCATAACCTTTAAAAAGTACTTGGATGAGCACTTGAGCTGTCATAACATTCAAGGTTACAGGCTGGAAAGTGGGACCAGTGTAGTTTTAGAATAGTATTTGTTAGATGCAGACTTGTGGGCTGAAGGACCTCTTCTGTATTGTACGGTTCAATGATCCTTGATGTGTAATTGGCTGCCATGCTCTCCCCAACATTTCGGGGAGGATATCAGAGGCCTGTTCAGGTGCAGCTGAGGCCTATGCAGCTGCCTCAAGAGCTGCCTCTACATCTTGACCCAAAGAAGCTGATTACAGGCTAGGAAAATGAATAAGTACTGACTCTCCAGTCTGTCAGTGAAGTAGTTGCTCCAATATATGAAGGATCACACACGCCAAACAACTGAGGACAATGTCAACACATCCTTGGTGACCTTTTTAAATCAGCCTGCCCTTACTGATAATCGAGAGTGAGTGAAGAGTAAGTAGAATTAGAAAAAAACAGGATTTTGCATCAACTGGTTCTAATTAGCTCTCTGTCAAAATGTGAACTTGATTTGCCTCCAAGCAAGAGCTGAATCGTTTCCTTTTCTGTAAGAAATTCTGTGTTCCAACACTGGGGTCAAGAATGATTGAAATTGGTTCATCACTAGCACGATTTTACCCTCAGCATTCCTAAATTCTGAGAGAAAGACACTTACTCAGCTCATTTACAGCGTGTACTCCCACTGAGTACATATATGGTATTTCACAGGAACTTCATTGCTGCCCTCATACACATACAGCTACCAATGTTAAACAGGAAGTGACAAACTTTTTCAGCAGTATTCATTTAGCGAACTTAGAATTGCATCAGCAGATTTTTTTTTCCGACTTACCCTCCAAAAGTATTTTCGGTTTGCATTTTTGGGGACGGTCTCAATGGTGTAGATCTCACCCACCAGTGGTCCAAAGCGTGTCCCTTTGGGAATGTATTCTGCGCTCATTACTCCCAGCACCTATGGGACACCGTGCCATAAATCAATGAGTGAGAAGACACTCAACCAAACATTTCACTGCCTGATTAAAATAAGCAAAAGTTTTAATGTATTTGTCGCTGATGTTTTGTTTCTTATATACCATATTCCTATAACACATTTTTAACAACTCAGCAATCAGCTTCCCCTTCACAAATCATCCCAACATAGATTTCAGAACGTATCATAGTAATATACATTTTCATCTTAAAATACATTCCTTAAATCTTAACGTTCTATAATATCTTCCTTAGGTGTGAAAGAGTTCTCCTCAATAATATTTAATTATTGGAAGAAGGTTGGGGAAGTGGTGGGTGGTGTTGGGGTTGGGGGAGTGCAGACATCTGGCAGGTGGCACTATGGGATAAGAATACCAGACTCTGTAGGCCACTCAAGTTCTGACATTCAAATATGTTGCAGCTTCTGTATGGAACAGTCAACAAAAATGAGACTAGACCACAGTTCCGCCTTCAAAATCCACATGCCCCACCACCCATGTGTTCATGGACAAAAGGTACACGGGGACACCACCATCTGCAGCCTGCCCCCCAAGCCTCTCACAATCCTGACTTGGAAATAAAGCACCATTAAGAAGCAGTGATGGCCTAGACTATTAATCCAAAGACCCAGATAATGTTCTGAAGATCCAGGTTCAAATCCTGCCATGGCAGATGGTGGAATTTGAATTCAATAAAAAATATCTGGAATTAAGCGTCTAATGATGACCATGAATCCATTGTTGGAAAAACCCATCTGGTTCACTAATGCCCTTCAGGGTCTGGCCAACATGTGACCCCAGGCCCACAGCAATGTTGTTGACTCTTAAACAGCTCACTGGGCAATTAGGGATGGGCAATAAATACTGGCCCTCGGTGTTGACGCCCTCATCCCATAAATGAATAAAAAAAGTCACTCGGTGGAAATCCTGGGACTCCCTCCTTAACACCACTGTTCGTGTACCTACACTGCATGAACTGCAGAGCTTGGAGAAGGCAGTTCAATACTAATGACTCAGCCAGAGGCACCTACATCCTGTGAACCAATTTTAAACAGTTTTCTTAAACAAATCAGCATGGTCTGCTCCGATCTGCTTTGGTGTTTATTTGTGTTTCTCACAAGCTTATTCCAGTTATTAGAAACTGCAAGCTAAACGTTACTAAATGAACAGTCCGATGACAGCTCAAATCTTGGGTTCTCATCAGGTATGAAGTATCCATTGATTCGGGAGCAGTGACTCGACTATACCTTTCCAGTGCACAATGCCAAGGTATGGAACTGCCTCATCCGTTTCACTAGCACTGCATGGGCCAACAGCTCAGTTGGCTGGACAATTGGTTTGTGAAGCAGTGTGATGCCAACAACATGGGTTCAATTGCTGCACTGGCTGAGGTTACCATGAAGGATTCTCCTTCTCAATGTCTTCCCCCTCACCTGAGACATGGTGACCCTCAGTTTAAATTGCCACCAGTCATCTCTCTCTATTGAGTGAGCAACCCTTATAGTCTCGTAAGACTGTGGTGATTTGACTTGATCAACGCTGCACAATCACTGTACAACACCTCAACTCACAGTTCTTTAAGTCAAAATAATGTTTCAATTCATTTCCCTCAAACTCTAATTTTATCCTTTAGCCATCCTAACAGCATGAGTGAAATATGCTTTGTCAGAATGAAAGTGGTAACGTAAGTTTACTGAGATTAGAAACTTGATGCTCTAACTGCGAAGGTACAAATTCATGATCGTCTGTACTGACCCACCTCAGGATTTTCTTGACAACATAAAGAATATTGAATTGAACAACTCAGAGACTTCAAGTAACTGAACTGCATGTGGGCAAATAAGGAGAGGAGTAAAAACATAACAAAGCAGAAAATATCAAATAGATGGAATGTGATTGAAAATAATTGGTTTCCTCTTTTATGTTATTTTGAATGATAGATCAGGCAGCCAGCTTTTTATCTGTACTCTAAAGAGGTGGTATCCTGATATTAAGAACTGCATGTATACACTGAGTTGGTAAGAGTTAAATACAGTGAGATAGATTTTCCTGTCCTTGTGTCTGGATGTGTTGGTTAGTCTAGGGCCAAGAAATGGGAAGGAAGTGAGGAACGCAGAAGTGCACACTCCTGAGAAACCCACTGATTATTCATCGATTCATTTAGATGTATTCAAATCTTGACGTGCCTACAGCCGTGGGCTCCTCTGCATCTGGTTTTCATAAGTGATCTGATATTCCCAGAGCAAGAGAATAAAACAACAAACACAGACCTGGGTCACATTTTTCATTGTGTTTGAGAAGAAGGCTCGCCGCTACCTTCTCCAGGCAACGAGGGATGCTCACATCCAAAGTATGAGCTGCTGCAGGGCAGCTATAGTCTGCTACAGAAGTTCTAGATCAGTGTGAAAAGTCCCACTGTCAGAGAAGCAAACTGACACATGTGGCTCTGTCTCTGTGGAGTTTGAGGCCCCAATTTTCAAAAGATCCAAACCCTCGCCTGGTGCTCACTTTTGCAAGTGTGTGAGCACCACTGGTCTGTAATTTGGCACGTGTTAGGGCCCACAGGAGAGGTTAGAGTGAAAACTACAATTCTTACAGTCAATACATTCCCACTTGTTTTCAGATTAGCCATCTTTTATGACAAGTAACTGGTCCTGACCTTTTACCTCTCCTCAAGGTCGTATAGTCAAAAACATAAAATTATGCTACCTGCAAAAACTATGACATTTACTGGAAGGGCTGGATGAGAGGAGATGGAATTTCCACTGCTCCAGGCAGAGATTTCATTGTGTTTGTACTTGCTGATTAGATTTAAGCAGACGCTGGGTCCACTCTGATCCCTAATTGCCAGTGTAAATGGTGGCAATGCTGAAGGTCAGTACAGCACGCTCAAGCCACACATGCACCTGCAATATCACTTCTTGCCTTTACGCACCTCAACAGTGTTCCACATTATTGTTGCGCACTTTCATTTCAAACTTGTGACATCCCAGCTATTTCTTCGTGTTAAGCATTTCTTACTGAAACTAGCCAGCCGGCTGAAGTTTTACTTCCACATTGTGGGTTCTCGCCTCTACATCTGTGCATCATCATCAACACCATCATAACGCATCCTGACACAAGATCATGCTTAAATTCAATCCAAAAAGCTTAGTCAACCTTCCTTGGGTTGATAATGTCAAGAAAATAGAAATGTTTATATTTTTAACACTTTTTTGGAAAGTAATATGATAAATGACAATGACTTGTTTTAAAGAGTAATGTTAGGAATCCTCTTGTTTTGCTACTTGCTACAGTATTTGTGTTTTTTTTGGTGGGTGACACCTGTATAACCAAGAGATAGTTGTGAGAAAGACAAAGTCTAAAAATCACTTCAGAAACAGAGCCTGAAACCAACTGCTGGGAGCGAGGCTTGTCGAGATAAACTCAATTTAGAATGACTGCAGTCATCTTCTGTGCAGCATCACTTATGTAATCTTGGTTCTTGAAGAAATGAAAAAGAAGCATTCTGGTCACACCAGTAACTGATTTCACAGTGGAACGGGCACAGGTCTCTCCTTCTCAATCTCTCTCTCTTTCTGTCAGAAGTCACACAACACCAGGTTCATTTGAAATCAGACAAGCTTTTGGAGCGCAGCCCTTCATCAGGTGCAGTGAGAGAGCAGAGCACACAGACTCGGAGTTTATAGGCAGAGAGATCAAAAGATCATACAAATGGTGCGAGTGGAGTGTCAGATGATAAGTCACTGCAGGTCACCAAGAGTGTTAGACGGTGAGTAAAGTGTCAACAGCTGAATAACGAGCGAAGGGATAACCTATAATCCAATTAAGTGTGGCAGAAAAAATTAAAAATAAGAATAAGATGGTGCAGGAGACAAACTAAATGACTAGAATAACATGATAGGTATAAGAGTCGCATGCTGAGAGTCTAACCAAAGTAATAAGTAATTCAAAAACTGTACAAACTAATTAGGGTAGAGAGATCCTAACAATTTATCAAGATGATGCTGTCAAACAGGACAGTAAGGAAGGTTTTACAGATACAGAACAGCATGGTGGGGTCACCTGTAGAATGACATCAACCAAGGTCACGGTTGAGGTCATTTTCATTGGTAGGAACTTGGCTATCAGTCTCTGCTCAGTGATTATGTGTTGTTGTGTATCTTGAAGGCTGCCTTGGAGGATGCTTACCCAAAGATTGGAGGCTGAATGCCCTTGACTGCTGAAGTGTTCCCCGACTGGGAGGGAACATTCCTGTCTGGCCATTGTTACACAGTTTCCATGCACCCGTTGTTGTAGTGTCTGCATGGTCTCACCAGTATACCATGCCTCAGGGCATCCTTGCCTGCAGCGCATGAGATAGACAACGTTGGTCAAGTCACATGAGTATCTGCTGTGTACGTGGCGGGTGGTGTTCCCACATGTGATGGTAGTGTTCATGTTGATGATCTGACATGTCTTGCAGAGGTTCCCATGGCAAAGTTGTGTGGTGTCATGGTCGAAATTGTCCTCACGAATGGGTAGCTTGCTGTGAACAATATTCAGCTGTTGACACTTTACTCACCATCTAACACTCTTGGTCACTTGCAGAGACTTATCATCTGACACTCCACTCACACCAGATGTATGATCTTTTGCCCTTGAGCTCTCTGCCTATAAACGCTGTATCTGCGTGCTCTGCTCTCTCACTGTACCTGATGAAGGGGCTGAGCTCGAAAAGCTTGTGTGATTTCAAGTAAACCTCTTGGACTACAATCTGGTGTTGTGTGACTTCTGACTTTGTCCACCCCAGTCCAACACTGGCACTTCCATATCATTTCTCTGTCCAAGTGCAGTTCTGCCTTGCTGCGAAAAGAACTTGGAAAACTCTTGTTTTTGTTCATTCTCCAACGTGCCCCATCCTGCAGGAGGAACGTGTTTTCCATGAGTTGAGTCACTCCAGTGCCCCCAACAGCCTTTTGGCACAACATCCAGATGTTAGCTTTCCATGAATGGATCTAGCTGTTTAGTGTCAGCCAGTTTTTTTTTTGAGAAATGACGGTGTTCACAGACTGCTGAATGTGATCGTCTCCTTTCTGACAGGGGTCACTGACCAGCAATCACATGTGGTGGGTGATCTGATTTAATTCTCGCCTGCTCCATCTCAGAGAAGGGAGTAGGAGTGAGGAGAGCTGAAGTGAATCGCACTAACCCACTATCCCCTAGCTGATATCAAATAGCCTACCATTAACCAGTATCACACTGGGGATCTCCCCGACTCTTATGAAGCGATTATATACCAGGCTGACCATATACATAGTGAGTGCGCAGAATAGTTTCAATTTCCCTTGCTGATAAAAAGAACTTCTCCAATCTCGTGCCCGTTTCAAATTTGAAAATTTACTTTTGATGTCAGGACCAAAGATATGGTTGCTAAATCTTCTGATGATTTGAAGACAGCAGGGAAAGAAGTTGTGATGAGGATAAGGACTGTGCACTGGGGTATAGATAGATCAAGGGAGTGTGCCATGATCTAGCAAAGTTTGAAAAATTGTGAAATTGTCCATTTTGGCAGGAAAAATTTAAAAAAAAGAAGCACATTATTTAAATTATCAGAGATTGCAGAGCCCTGAGATGTGGTCCCACATGCAAGGAACTGGAAAAGCTAATTGAATGTTAGCGTTTATTGTGAGAGGAATTGAGTACAAAAGTAAGGAAGTTATACTCCAGCTATACAGACCACAACTGGAGTACAGTGTGCAGCATTGATCATCTTATTTAAGGAAGGATGTAAATGCACAGGAAGCTAGTCACAGAATGCCTACTAGACTAACACCTGGAATCGGGATTATATTTTACCAGGGAAAGTTGGACTGTATCCACCAGAGTTTAGAGAGTTAGAGGCAACTTTACTGAAGCATATAAGATCCTGTGGGCTCTTGCCTGGGTGAATGTGAAAAGGAAGTTTTCTCTGATGGGAGAATCTAGAATTAGGGGTTAGTGTTTAAAAGTAAGGAGTCTTCCATTTAAAACAGAGATTAGGATTTTTTTTTCTCAAAGGGGATTTGGAGCTTTCTTCCTCAAAAACAGGTGGAAGCAGTCAACGAATATTTTGAAAGGCAAAGGTAGTTAGATTCTTGATAAAGCAAGGAGTGAAGAGTTATGAGGTACAACAGGAATGCAGAATTACTGGATCTGGCCGATCTTATTGAATGGTGGAGCAGGCTCAAGGGGCTGAGTGACCTACTTTTGCTTCCATTTTGGATGTTTATATGTATTCACCATTGAAGCTGCTTAGTCAGTTGATACATGAACTGAACCTAGAACATGTTGCCCTGCCCCCTTCCTTTTCCGAACATCAGTGCGCAGCCTGAAAGGCAACACTAAAAGGTGGCTGTTTAAAATCAACTGAACCTAGCTTTCAACTCCACATTAGGCCAGTCCTGACAGCTGTCCCTGAAAAATCCAGTGCTGCTGACCACAGTCCCAATGTATCATGATGGGGCAGGGTGGTGTCTGTCAAGTATAAACACAACGTGGATAACAGGTAGAAAGCGTTGACACTTTCATGCTTCAAATCTCCTCCTGCAGAAGCCATTCCTCTTGATGGTTTATGGTAACCCTGACCCTTCTCCCAACATGGAGCATCTATCTATGTCAGAGGGGTAGGTCAGTGAAGACATCCTGCCCATGTCTGTCTCACAGACAAAAAACAGACCAGCCAAGTCTTCATTAACTCAATTTACTTTAATTATTTACATAGGGAAAAACTTCCAAGTTATTAATTAAATGTCTGCAAAGTAAATGGTGATTACAGTGTACAAGTTAGTGATATGTAGGTACATTTTCTTAAAAATTGCAGGCTTTTCAAAAGGGCTCTTTCAAATTACACTGGTGTTATTCAGAGATCAGAAGTTTCAACGCTTTTTTATTCTTTTTTTTCATAAAGAGCAACCTCGCCCACGCATTTGAGAGGGGTGGGAGGAAAGAGAAAGGAAGGAGTAGAAATTCTCCCTATGACTTGGTAGAAAATGTCGGTTATGATGCCCATTTTTGTAACTGTAACATTGAATGAATGCACAGACCCAGGATAAACAACCTTCTGCTGGTTTCCCTTCCCCTTTAAAGTTACAGGGGGATTCACCTTGCCCCTCACCCTGACCTCCCTTAGCTCTGTGAAACTGCTTCTTCTCTCCGTGTCCATCTCTCCCATCCCAGATAACTCCACAGCTCACGTCTTTCTAAAAAGAAGGCCAGACTGTGACAGTTAAAAGGATACAGTGTACTTCACTCAATAGCAAATAAAGTTTGTATGAGAGAGAGAGAGGAAGCCTTGCAGCCTCAGCCTTGCCTCACTCGCATTACTTCAGGTGTACTGGGTAGGGGCAGTTGGCGCTCTAGGCTGCCCACAGGCACAGGCCCTTGAGAAGGTAAAGCACACCCTTTGCAAAACTGCACCCCAAAGGGAGTTTACATTAGCTGTTCCATTCACTTCAAAATTTCATCCCTTTCTCTTTCTCTCATGATCACATTGTGGAGTGTAAAACTCTCATGTTGAAAGGATGGATTCACCTCTCCAAATGGACATGGGCAAGCTACCAAAATATTGTCCGCTTATAAACATCAGAGCAGCATAAATATAAATCCTGTTCTAGATTCACAATGCCTATATGATGTTGGCAGAGGGTATATGCATCGTTTTCATGTTTTGCTGTTTCTCAAACACATGGAAATGCATTTAAAGATCAATCAGTCCTGTTAAATGTCCTTCACAGCACAGGAACTGCTTTAAGTTATTCTGCTGAGAAACGATTCAATGCCTCAAGGTAACTCTATGACTGTACGCAACAGCCAAATATAAAGTATTTCAGGATAAGCTAAATCAGCTAAATCCTGTTTCAAATGAATTGCTTTGCATGTAACACCAAAAAAAAGTGTCAAAAGTAGTCAAATGAGTTTGACTTGTACGCACAACATGCACACACCCACTTCAGCGATGATCTGTTTTGAGTGTAAACTTATGAACCTGACTTAAAAAAAGCTGGTCAGAGAGCACACCACACTGCAGCTCTGACCTATTGCATTCTCTGATAAATCACTACAGTTAAATATCTCTGCTGTCTTTACACTTCCTGCAAGTGCTGAAAGAGCCGAGGAGCACTTCAAGTAAACTGTGGGAATCAAGGATGTTGTTCAGCCTGCTATTACCAACAGGGAAATGTGCCATTAATATCGCGATAATTTCTCCCTGTGCTCCAGTACACATAGAATGTGATCCACATGTTTCACTCACTGCTTAAATCATAGGTATCCATCAGAACTAAAGCTGAACATTCAGCACATTCTGCCAGTACCAGCTCTTTGCTGTATCAATCTTTAACTGATCTCCCTGCCCTGCTCTCTGCCCGTAGCCCTGCCGTTTTCTCCACTTCCAACTTTATCTACTTTTTCTTTAAAAGATGCAATGGTATTTGTCTCAAATAAGGCAGAGCATTCCATCCTTCTTAATTACTTCCCACACACCGAAGTTTATGATTATTTTAAACTGATGGTCCCTTGTCCTTATTTCCCTACCGGGTGAAATGACTTCTTGATTAAATATCTCAGCCTTCATTGTTCCTGCAGATATTGACCAGTGTCTCCAATTTGTCTGCATAGCTAGTGTGTCTCATCCCTGCTTTTATCAAGATTTTAAATTCTGTTGATATTTGTTACTCATATTTTGCTTGCTGTTATACACATACATTGCATTATCCACTATTTCACACATAAGTTCTATATGTAAATATACACACAGCTTCATTTTTCATCTCAACTGCAAACAATGCACCCACAGCATTTCCCGATATTACAACTGCTGAACATTATCTTCTGTTACATGCAGAGGAACATGCACACAACTCTAGATGATAGATGGCTATACGCCATTATATACACAAGACGCGCAGGAGTTTATCGGTAGCAGAATTTTACATCCTATACAAGTTTAGAACTTAATTTACCAACAATCACAAGATCTACTTTCAAACACACGTGCATCCATGGACACACACGGTTGACACTTCTACTCTACAGCTTTTTGTTCTATGCAATAGAATACACTGACTCAATTAATTATATATAATACCTAGTATGTATATATATATATATAATGTTACATATATACACATATATAAAAAAACACATCAGCTGCCTGTCATAGATTAATGAGACAAAGCACTTACTGACCACCCACAAACTACTGGAGTGCACTGTTTAAAAAATGCATTGTGTTAACATATCAATGAATTAACACCGTGACACGTTAAATTAATGAGATATTCTAGCAGAAAGGAGCTGGTACCTTTTCAAAATAATTTGGAAATGTCTCAAGTGCACTTTGGTTTCCTCACCTTACAGTGGCATATAAACACATTGCCATATTGTCGGATGCGCTTATGAATAAGTGAATTCCCTGCAATTTCTGATGACACTTTCCACAGAATACTTAACAACTGTTTTCCCCTTGTTTGATTTCAGATTTAACAACTTTAGAGTTGGAAGGTTAAGGAGGCAGTTGAGTATGAAAATCAACAAGTACTTTGGATCAGACACTCAGAAGCATTTACTGAGTACCATTATTACAGGAAAATGCAAAACATTTGAAGAAAAATATCAGTCTTACCTCATTTGAGTGACATGCATACTTGAACTTCAGGTTTCGGGGCAGGGATGCTTGAGCATGTGTTAGATCACTGTCAGTCGTGGGCTCCCAGGACTGGTCATTTACAATGTAGGTGCAGTTCTCTTCAAATTCAGCCTCTGTCCACTGGGTCATGTCCACATCTTCCACGTCCATTTTCATCCCCACCCCCCCCCCCCCCCCACACGTGTGCAGATGCTGTCTCGCTCTCTTCTTTCCTCAGGCTTCAGAAGCGACAATCCAAACTACCTTGTGTGGAAGCCTATGTGTGGAAGGGGCTGGCAGGGAGGTGGAGAAAAGAAAAAGTACATGTTTTTTAATTTTGATTGTCCACATTCTGTGGTTTCCTCTGAGACAGTGTGTGTGACTAATGGAGCAGACTGGGGCACTTTTGCCATAGTTCTAGCTGTTGAAAGTACTTGAGTAATCATCAAAGCAGTCTGTAACTAACATGTTTGGTCGTCTCACATGCTGTAATCTTGTCTGGAACAAAGCCACGAAAGGAATATTGACGGTAAAGTTGAGAGGGTGGGTAAACTTCAAATTTGAAGTAAGCATACGAGTATCTCCCTGGCTTGGGCACCTCATCTTCTCTCTCTCTTCCTCCCTCCCTCCTTCTACATCCCCCTTCCACCCCCACCGCACACAAACACATTCACAGCCCCTATCACAGGAAGTCTTTCGCCAGGATTCCAAGTGGACTTTAGGTCATGGCCAAGCGCCCATGGTGGGGGGGGGGGGGGGGAGGTGGAGAGGAACGTTGGGGGTGGGAGCATTGGAAAATCTGTTTCAGAAAGTATCACAAACAAGCAGAGGAAAAGGAAGGAGCTGCTGTCTGCATCGGAGAGTTAAATATGGAACAGTGTGCGACAGCAGCGGAACCTGCTACGCTTTCCAAATGGGGAAGCTCCAACTTTCCCAGCGCAATCCAGAGGAGCAAACAACATCCCAAGAAACAACCTGCCGTGACGTCTCCTCATCCTCTGGGTAGACAGAAGTTTTGCCTCTTGGCAGCATCAGCACAGCAAACCTGTCACCAGCAACAACCAAATATCACTGATCCCGGACTTTTGACTTAAGTTTTAAAAAGTTTTTAACAAAAGCAACGACCTGCGATTTATTGAAAATGGGCCTGAGGCTTTGGCTTCAAAATATCAAGTACTAAATGATGCACTCAAATGATTAGATTTAAATAGTTGTTCCATCTCCTAAGATAAATTTTAAATATCCTAGGAAGCATTTACTAAAATGACTTGGGGGTAAAATTCCGCAATGCTACAAACGTGCCAACGATCAGAAATGAAATTATTGGCTTTTGAAGAAAGCAGCGAAATAGCTGTTTCAAATAAATAAAGAGGAAAAAGACATGGGAATAAGGACAGAAAGAGATGCAAATACACACTTCCAGAGAGACAGAATGCAGGAATAGAGCGAGGGAGAGAGATTCAAAAGACAAAGAAAGTATTTTAAAAAAGGGAACAGAAAGAACAACACTAGAATTAAGAGTTCAGCCAATGTTGTTAACAATTGTTTGCCATTAGTACTCACTGGCACTGTCAGCTTTGTACTGGAGGACAAACACACTTGCAGATATCAGACTGCACTGCTCCTCTGACAGGTGCCGGGCTCATGCCTCTTGCGAATACTTGATTGTTGCAGTGAAACTTTCAGTCAGTACAAACCAAAGTGACTCTTCCTTTCTCCTCCCTCTTTCAAGTTTCCTATTAATAACTTAATCTGATGATTCACTTGCCAAGAGTTTGCTGTCGAGACCTGCTGGTTGTGGGGCGGGATCTGTACCTGGACACACATCAACAGCACAGCAGCCAATAACAAATTAATGTAAAATGCAATTCTTGAGGTGTGTTTGGAAAGACAAGTCCAACTGAGCAGGCAGCTTTTCCAGATGTAATGCTCTTTTCACATAAATAAGTCAGCGTGCCAACCAGGTACGTGATAAGTCCTTTCAATTGAACTATGTTTTTCCTGACTGAGAAGCACACAAAAGAACCAAAGTAAACTCCCGCAACTCCTTTTCCTATTAATCCATTTCCTGGTCTTAACTCTGTCAGTGCCAGCACATACTGAACACATTTGTCTTGTAAGAATTACCAGAAATGACTTGGAAATAGGAAGAAGCCTCTGAGGTTTTGCAATTGGTCTACATACAAATTAGCTTTGTAAATAGTCCTGAGTCACCCAAACATTAAACACGTACACATAGCTCTGGCTTAAGCTAGTCTCCTGACTAAAGGGGGTTAACTGGAACTACAAGAAGCTGTTACGACACAACAGAAAGAGAATGCTCACTGTTAAAAAGAAATGTAATATAAAGTACTTATACCCAGGAAGGGAAAACAAGAAAGGATAGCGCTGGAGGGTTCTGGGGGTGGGGTAAAGGTGGGGTTGGTGGGGTGGTTGGCAGAGGAAAAGAAATGGTAAGATTGCTAACCTCATCAGATAAACAGTTGAGTGCAGCAGAGATGCTCCTGTGGGACATGGAGAGGTTGAAGTGATTTTACTCAGTCTTTAAGCCCCATGTCATTCTCTACCTCCTCTCTGCCTCAATTACTGGGCTGTAGGAAGGACGTCCTGTGATGAAGACACAATGCCCCATTTGTTTACTATTGGGAATGTGGACCTACATTCCTGCTTCTCCTTACAAAACAAACCAGACACTTCACTTCCTTCACCATCCCTGTCCTCCTAACAGCAACACTGATAACACACTTCCATATGTGGCCATAAAGATGCAGTCTGTCAGCCAGCGTTGAAACAGACTTTCTCTCTCTCTCTCTCTGTCTCCCCAGCTCCCTCGCATCTCGAATGAAAATTTCAAATTATCTTCATCAATTCGCAGTTCACAAGGCATTATTACTTTTGCTGATTTATACCAAGTCTGCAGTAGTTTATGAATCGCTGCATGGTCACAGTGAGCTGAAGAGATCCCCCAGTAGGTCCTTTGATGGCTATCAGTGTCGTTCACAAACTGACAGATGTCACACAGGCTTCAGCCTCCGAAGTGTACACTGGCTAACAGCTATCTCGAAAAGAGATCATCTGTGTGCAGGAAAGAGTATTTAAAAAGAAAGCAAAGTGGGGGTGGGGGAAAGGAGGTGGCTGTGGAGACAGAGGTGGTGGGGGCGGGAGGCAGTGGTGTGTATGACAGTAGACCAGGGACTCCCTCTCTCTGCTTGTATTTCTCACACATCTACACACACCCGGAGCCCTACGAGATCATTCACAACATCTCTCTGCTAGTCACTTCCTGGAAATCAGGCTGTCTCTACAGTAAATGATGACTTAACATTGCCAACATTTGCTGGTATGTTCTTTTTGTTGTTGCTCGCAGCCTGGCTGTGATAAAGCAGGATTCTACTTAAAAACCGCACAGCGGTTTCAACACTGCTCAGATGTGTTTTTTTTTGTTCAATCCATCAACCAGCGAGAGAAGTTCTCTCTGAAATGCAGTTGCGTGGAATCCAGCTTGAAAGAGAGAGAGATTTTTTTAAAAGAAAGAAAATGCACAAATTGTGACCACAATAGGTTTGGGTGATTTTTATAGAAGTATAAATGAAAAAGAACGGTAAAGGCTAGTCTTTCCTGAGCCTGAATTCTGAAAAAGTCACCTCCTTTAGCACACTTGGAGAGGTTAACACTCATGATGAAATTTCACTAGAAATCTTTCATATATGTCAAAGTGTTTGAGTTTCAATCCTTTTAACAAAAAACAAGTAGTTCAGTTCCACTCTTCTAAAGTTGAAGTGCTCAACATGTTCCTTTAGCACCTAGGGAATTTCCAACAGGTTCATCCTTGGTACAGTCCACATCGACTGAAAATCTGACCCCTCGAATTAAGGTTCAGATTCACATTCAGATATCTCACCCAACTGGCCATTCGTTACTTGGGAGATCAAAAGGTGAGAACAGACGATAATAAAAACAAAGTTGCTGGAAAAGCTCAGCAGGTCTGGCAGCATCTGTGGAGGAGAAAACAGAGTTAACATTTCAGGTCTGGTGACCCTTCCTCAGAACTCAGAACAGACGATGTGTTTGACCACCGGGAAACAAGTCGGAATGGGTGAAAAATGGCAGCATTGCCCAAACCTGTCCACCATGTGAGCACTCACACTTTAAAGCAGAGTTAATAACATTAACCACAAGAGGCAGGAATCCAAGCTGACTTCAATCTGATCTCTTGACCTATGTCAGGAAATCCAGCAAAAAGTGAAGATCAAATTTGAGGAGCGTCTTGACCGGGTGATAGATTTACTCCTTGAACCACTGGTGGAGCTAGAGAGTCACTTTTACTAAAAATAATTTTGCAAAACAAAGTCATGTTTTTTGGTGGGTGGGGTCCATGCTGAGGTGGATGGGAAAGACAAATAAAAAGCTTCAAAGGGCATAACGGGAGCTTAAAGATTTTAATGCTTGGTTACTGCCGACAAATTAAGGAAGTTTTTGTTTTGTTGACACTCCTGTGAGACATCTTGGGTCGCATTACCATGTTAAAGGTATATGTGTTGAAAGAAAGAGCTTAGATTTCTGTTGCATCTTTAGCTGCTCCAGTTTGTTCCAAAAGGCTTCCCAGTCAATAGAATCCCCTGGAACTGTAATCACTATTATAATAAGAGCCTCCATAAAAGTAATCAGAGGCTATGAAGTTTAACAACAACAATAACAGAGGCTAAGAAGTTTATCTGGGCTAGAGAGCTCTGTGTAAACCAACTGATCTACATCTATAGTGGGCACTGTGTTGAGTACAGCTGGTATGAATGACTTCTTCGGGCAGTCTACAGCAAAGCCATAGATTTTTTTTTAAAATCAGGGATATTATGACATACCTCTTGAGCAGGTAGGACCTGAATCTGGGTCTCCTGGCTCAGAGGTAGGGAATTACTACCATTGCACCACAAGCAAAGCCCTATAAGCCCTATCAGGACAGCAACGTAACCTCCTCTCTGTCCAGCAGTCCTAGCGCAGAGGGAGAGGTGTTAGTGGGCAAGGTGAGCAATACAACTGTCCAGTGACTGTGCTATGATGAGTTGGTGGCAGCTGGCATCTTTGTGAAGGTGTGAAGGAAAACGTTGCCCACCCAAGCAACAGCATCCCAGCAGACACAATCTGAACAGGGGTTTCTGAGTGATGGCACACATGAGATACTCTCCTTGGAAAGCATCACTCCTTTCCTGCACCCATGAGTTTTGCAGCTAAATTTCCCAGTTTTTGTGACCCTACTTCCTATTAAATCCCTGGTTGTGTTCTGTTGTCACCTGTACAATGACAAGAGACTGGGAATCAGTATAGGGCTCAGACAGGGCTCATATCTGCAGGATGGGCTAATGGTGCCTACATTAGCTCAGTGGTGATTAAATCGTGATTATTACTTAAGGAGCAAGGAGTGGGCCATGAAATCGATCGCCCATAAATAACAAGCTCGGTGGGGAAGGGAAAGTTCTGTGATTTACAGGGAGGAAGCTCGTGTAATTTGGATGGTCCAGCAGGGAATGCGGGACTGAATGGCCTGACCCGAACAATTCTGCCTCTCACACGGAGACATCTGACATTGCGCCAGCGGCGAGTTTGAAGGGAGCCCGTCTCACAGCGAAGTCCCAGATCTGCACCGCTCCCTCCAGTCATGCAGTACAGCGAGCAGCCTGTAGATGGCGCGGGCGAGCGGCTCACACAGGGGACCAGCTCCATTCTCCCGGGGCTTAAGTTACATTTTATGAAACAGCTCAGTTTGGAGGCAAGGAGATGGAAAATGTCTCCTCCTGATTTTTATGTCGTGTCGCTGTAAGAATGTTTTCGGGACCAAGTTAGGAAAGGAACTGAATGGAAGACCAAGGACATTTATTCCCCCAACAAAAACCCCAAAGAACTGCAGATGCTGGAAATCAGAGACAAAAACAGAGATTGCTGGGAAAACTCAGCAAGTCTGGCAACATCTGCAGAGAGAAAGTAGAGTTAACGTTTCGGGTCCAGTGACCCTTCTTCACAACTGGGGCATTTATTCCTGACTGCTATTCCGAAAACCAAGTACAGGTGAGATACCTCTACACCTTGCCAGCTCCTCCTATCTGGGCTCATCCGTGACCAGTGGTTATTTTGTGGAGATACTGGGCAGGCTCCATGTGAAGGAGATAGTAGGAACTGCAGATGCTGGAGAATCTGAGATAACAAGGTGTAGAGCTGGATGAACACAGCAGGCCAAGCAGCATCAGAG